ATTATATGCTACACCAAAAGAGAAAAGTTATTGGAGTTGCAGACTTTTAAAACTATTTGCTGCTACATTTACATGTATACTGATACTTATTGTTGCTTGTTTGTATGTTTGGTTGTAGGTATAGTAATAATCTTATACAAGTAGTATTGATTAGTAATTTTGTTAATTCTGACTTCTGTCCAGATTTTGAAAAATTTGTAAACTTCAAACAAAAATAACCTTTAAATATCAAATTATTACAATGATCATGAGTCATAGCCTAGTATATGACTAAAATTGGGTTTATTCAGTTCATTACTGTTTCTCTTTATTTAAAATTTTTGTCTCTCTCCCCCTTGCTCTTTCTCTTAGAAAGAAGAAGAAGATGGTGTCATACCAGAAGTCTCGTTGCTACGCATTATTAAAGCTAATTCCAAAGAATGGTGGCTCATTGCTCTTGGTCTTTTAGGTTCAGTGATCCTTGGATTCATATACCCGGTCTTTGCTCTCATTTTTGGTGAAATACTCGACATTTTTGCCCGCCCTCCTTCTGAAATACTGTCTGGGCTCCACCCATGGGCGGGGCTATTCCTTGGAATTGGAGTAGTCGTTGGACTTGGAGCATTTATAAGAGTAAGACTAAAAACTATTTGTGATTCTTTTGTGCTATTATTTTTTTAAATTACTAATAATTTAGCATCCTAATAACAATGCCTTTACATGTACATGTACATGTATTTACTTTTATTATTTTATTATTATTATTTTTTTCTCTTAGTCTCTTTGTTTGGGTATTGCCGGTGAGAACCTCACCGCTCGCCTGAGGACCTGGTCTTTCCGTACTTTCCTCCGCCAGGACATGTCATGGTTTGATAAAGAAGAGAACTCAGCCGGAGCACTGACTACAAAACTATCAACAGATGCATCTCTAGTTCAAGGAGTAAGCCATGAATCATACTATAGAGTATTCACAATTTCACATGTTGCAGTACAATATCAATAATGAATAGTACAATCTATGTGATGTGAATACATGTATTAAAGCTGGTTTCTGACCCAAAAAGTTATAATGCACATGCAAGTATCATAGTATGTAATACAATGATAATAATCATTTTGTGAGTACATATGATCAGAATTTGTGAAAATGAAAATTTTAAGCAAATGAAGATAAATGATACCTTCTCTATTCTGTTGGACCCTCTCCTAGTATCTGATATAAAGTAGAAGGCTATGTATTCTTCCCCCCCTAGGCAACTGGTTCAAGATTAGGTACACTTGTAGAGATAAGTGTGGCCATGTTACTTTCTCTTATCATATCATTCGTCTACTCCTGGATGCTTACCCTGGTACTGGCTGGATTCATACCTGTCTTCATGCTGGCTGGGTTCCTCCAATTCAGAGCCAATGCTGAGTCCATTAAATCAAGCACTGACTCTAGTACTGTAGCTGGAAAGGTAAGAATAAAGGACTGGCAACTTAACTTTTTTTTATTTTTTGAAAATGGCATAAATGGATAATATTGTTTTTTTTTAGATTGTGATAGAGTCACTGGTGAACATTAGGACAGTCACCTCACTCGGTATTCAATCGAATTTCTTTCAATCTTACACTAACGAAATTAGAGGACCTTACAAGTAAGCCACGCCTATTCGACCCCTCCCACTTATGCTTCCTCTCTGACAGACGAGCTCTAATAAAGTCCCCAGTGCTTGGAGCTGCTTATGGCTTCTCCCAGGGTGTGCTGTATCTGGGGTACGTGGTCACTTTTGGATTTGGAGCTTATCAAGTAACAAGACAACCAGGTTAGACCAGCACTATGTGTATTGATTCATGTTAACGCTGATTCTAACATTGATATTGACTTGATTTTAATCTGATTTTAATTTCATGTCACTCTACAGGTGATATTGCTCATAGCACATTCAGTAATATCTTTGTTGTCTTTACTGCTGTCATCTTTGGAGCTCTTGGTGCAGGGCAGGCCTCTTCCTTTGCTCCTGACTACGCTAAAGCTAAGCAATCAGCTAACAGGATATTTGCACTGTTAGACAGAGAACCAGCAATTGATGGATACTCTGAAGATGGACTCAAACCAGTTAGCATACATATGTATTTATGATCTTATACATGTAGTTTATAATGTGCAATAGCTGCAAGGTGTACTGTAAGCATGAATCTATTCTTTTACCATTTTTTCCATAGGGTGATTTGTCTACCAAGGT